ATTGTCCTTCTGACGCTGGACATACCTATATGGCCGATATAAGGGAGCACCCCCTGCCCTAGGGCAGAGTCAAAGTGAAGTATCACAAGTAAATACATTTCGAAGCACGTTGACTGTAATAACTGATACATGTGTAGCCAACTTAAATTAATTAGCCCCTTGCTCTTTTACAATAGGTTCAGTACTAAACCTCACCTGGACGAAAAAACCCAGGCTATGGCAACTGAGCAGATCAGTGCGGTGCAAAGCGGCGCATTAGCACATATCCCCCTCACCCTAGGACTTCTCATGCACAAGATATCAAAACCCCGGCCTTTCTCAGACTTTGAATATCTTTCCGGAAACGAAACACTATTTCTTTCTAAGAAATAGCTTCTTGTTTTTTTTTTTTGTTTTTGTTTTTTGTTTTTTGTTTTTTTTGCAGGTTTATGGATCGCGTCTGTGGCTCGGTTCATAAACCTGCCAAAAGAAGAAGAAACATTAGGCAGTAAGCAAAGATTATTCCATTTTTTTTCTGCTGTAGGATTGCTGGGGAACCTCGATGGCTGGGTTCCATTCATGCTTTTATTCACGTTTTCCGGCATTACCTTTCAGTTTCTTTTTCCACTCCGGCTCACAAATAAGCTTTCTTCTGGTTTCTTCACTTAGTAACGACACTCTATTTATGTTCTAGCGAAGGCGGCCGGGATAACCGTTCGGCTTGATGCCATCATTCGCGCGAAAAAGATGATGATCAGGAAATTTCCATGAAATGTTTAATGATTGGCGGATCTTTGTACCAGCTGTCCGCGCCCTATTTGACAATATAATTAGAATTTCTTATTTTGTGAGTAGCTCAACAAAATGATGATGAAGTGATCAATCAGCTTGTGCCTCAAATTGCCTTTTTGTTTTCATATCTAACTTAACATCTATGAAACTGAAAACAGACAGTTTCCTATGACATCAATGCTTCAACATGCAGATGATGTAGTCAAAGCTGGCGGGATTGTTTTTCAGCTCTGCTCGAAGCATGATAAACAGTCGGTAAATTTTCTTCCTCCTGTTATTGTTTGGTCATGCATTAAATTGTCCACCAGGACGATTCAATGATGCTTTATCACAGAACGCATCTTGTCGGAGTTGAAATTTAGAAATTTTAGTGTCCAAAATAATGATTGCATAAACCGCTTAATCAAAGGCTGCCGCGCAAATGTGATAAGAATTTACTCTGCAGAGACATGAAGTTTTCTCGTGCACGTGTATCCAAGTCAGTCTTTAACCAAAGAGACTCCTCCTCGTGGATTGCATATGACTTCAACAACGGCTTATAACTTTAGGATCAGATTCAAACTTGGATTATAGCACATGACAGCGTCAGTTTCTTTAATCAAAGGCTCTGTGAGCAAACCCGTCGATTTCCCAGTGCGTGATGATTGATGTGTGTGGCTTACGGGTTATTCTAGTTATAAAATAACTATATTGACTTCTGGCGATACTTGTTGTAACAGCCGTCTGNAAAAAAAAAAAAAAAAAAAAAGAATGGCTTAACGTACATACTCTGCATGAGGTACAAGAACTGCAAACCTCCACTACATGAACTGCATTGCTCCGATGGATTTACTCATTCTCGATTGAGCCACTCTACCTTGTAAACTTCTCGCCTGAGGACAAAAGCGTAGCTTGCTTTACGCGACTCAGCGCCGCTAGATCGAGTGCGAATAGGTTGCGAATAAGATCCTCATCTGCTCGCGGGGTAGGTGCGAAAGATCTTCAGAGTAACGTCAAAAAACCGTGTTCTTATCGGTTCCAAACTTGAAATAAGTAATGTAGCTACTTGTGGATGTTTTTCACCAGAAAAAAGGTTTAACAGGAAGAAAAAAAGACCAGCGGCTTAAAAAAAACGGAAAAAAAGCTTCCGGATCCTGGAATTGAACTCGGGCCCACTAGATTGGAACGCGAGTGCTAAACATTGTAACAGGTAAGAAACCTTGCTCCAAGGGGAATCAAAGGCCCTTTGGGCTGCCTGGTGTCATTAGTGCCGGCGTGTTGAAACGATAGAAGAGAGCTCCAGCACAGACATTTCTGAGCCACGGACGTTAACCGGAAGTTTATGTTCTTGCTTTTAGCACGTTTTAATGCCCGACCAATGAGTTACAAAGCTCTCATTTTAGCATTTACAACTTGACATTTTCAACGAAAAGGGGGTAATACGCGTTGAAGAGGAGAAGTTTCGACTTTCGGTTGATGTCCGTGGCTCAAAAACGTCTGTGCTTAAGCTTTCTAATATCAATATTTTACGATAACTGCAGAAATTCTTCCGCGCTCATTGGTTAATTTTCATTGTTAATAAGCGTACAGACACATGAATTTATGATTTACGGGATGCGTGAACGAGCGAGAGCGGACAATTTCACGATTTGTTATCGTAAAAAAGAAAAAAGCAAATTGACGACAGTTTTTAATGCGTCTGTCCTGTTATTGACAATGAATTTCGCCTTAACATCGTCAAAGTAGTCTTCAGATCCACAGCTAAATTGACAATGTTCTGACGAGATTCATGATCAATAACAGTACAGACGCATGAAAAACTGACGTAAATTTTTTACAGTAAATCAATAATTAATAAATTGTATCGGAATTTTTT